TTTTTTTTCTTCCATGTATCCAGCGATTCCCATTGTTTAGGATTGCATACTTTGTGGTATGGACCGGCGTATTCGTGCTATTCCAATGGATTGTTCATGCTTGTGTCTCCTTCTGGTAAACACTAATGTTTCTATCATTCTCTAAAACGATTGTTTGAATAGATTAGTATAACAATGTGATATCGGTTTTTGTGCAGGTGGCCATACCCATTCTTGGATTTATCATCACCTTATGCTCCTTTATGGTACGCCACACAAACTCAAGACTACATAGTAAATGGTTCTTGATCTTGAATGGACTTAAGACTACATAGTAAATGTTTAACTGATGTTGCAGGTATGCAGCGGTTGGATTGATGCATGTACCATGCTTTGGAATATTTGCTTTGATCGTAAAGTTGAAGTATATGTGGCTCTCAAGATGTTTCTCAGAAGAATCATAGTAACAAATATCATATATACTCGAATGCTTATAGAATCTCTCTTGAGTCTTGAACAGAGTCCAAAGAAAAAGTAATAAGACTCTCATTTACAGGTACAGGTAACAAGGTCTCCCTTCCCATCTGTATCAATATTTTTTTGTAAATTACATTTCAAAGTTCCTTTTGAAGGACCATATAAATCACTTAGCTAGTCACCATGTTTTTTTTTTTTTTTGGAGGGTGGCAAAACAAATAAAAAAGTTCTTTGATTTGTTAGTTTTTGTGTCCCGATTATCATTTGATATTCATTCTGTCACAAATTACATAGTTTTCTAAAAAGCTTAGGCGGTCATGCACCGTGGCGTCTGGCGATTAACATCTACGCATTGGAATTAGGCGTTTTGGGTACTAAGCATATTTAGGCGATTTTAGACGAACTAGATGATCATAGATCATTTATCAGTTAATTCTAAATATATTTTTTTGGCCTAGTTTTTCAAGTTTTATTTACGTAAAATGAAAATTTTAAGTTTTGATTTCATAGTTACATGTAAACTTCTACACATCATGCATTCGATTTCAGGTTTGTGTCTAGTGTTATTTCACCACTCATATTGAAACTCGTATATTGCTTGTTAAAAACAACTAAGGTCGGCCCTGATCAAGATTCTCTTAAATAACCAACCAATAATATTTTCCATATAAACTAATTAATCATATCTTCATTATCTTGTCTTTTTTTTCTT